AGTTTAGAAAGGACATGTAGAATATAGGCTATTACCACACAGTTAGCATTCCCCTCCTACTGAGTTACATAGAATAAGCATTAAGCTCTGACTTTTAAGATAATTTCATCTTAGCAGACCACACTGGACAAAGCGTGGTCTTCTGCTCTTTCGTGGGCCATGAAATCAGAATATTTTAAGTCACTATCACTATATCTGAACTTCAGGAAGCCATGTACAATGTATGTCCTCTTAAGTAATTCATTGCTAAGCATTTACTGAGTGTTTGACTCTCAGTTGAGTGCTGAGTTACAAAGCCAAATAAGAGATGGGCCACTTCTCTCAAGGAGCTTACAGACTAATGAGGGAAACAGAAAAAAAAATGGATTATTAATATATGGCTGAACAATGATGGAGATATGTACAGGGTGCTATGGGAACCCAAAAGAGAGCAACCGCTCTGTCTTGGGTCGTCAAAAGGTGCTTCCTTAAGCAAGTGATATTTGAGTTGTCTTAAAAGACACTCAAGAATCAGCAAAATGGTCCTCAGCTTCCTATCTTGCGTAACTGAGTAGATGTTGGTGGCACCAATGAAGACAGAAAATGTGTGAGCAAGATTAAGAAGGAAAGATCATGAATTTAATCTTGAAATTCATAGGCTTGTGCTATTGGCAAAGATGGCTGGTAAACATTTGGATATATAAGAATAAAACTCAGAGGAGGTTTAGGCTAGAAATACAGGTTTAAAGTCATCAACAATTAGTAAGTATTGAGATAATGAGAGTGAATAAAATTATGAAGGGAAAACATACGGTAGTTTTACATCATATGGTTCCTGAGTGTTTTTGAGAATCCGATGAAGAGAATGTGCTCTCCAGAGGAGAGGTCCAGACATGGTGGCTGATGCCTGTAATTCTAGCACTTTGGGAGACCAAGGCGGTAGAATCACTTGAAGTCCGGAGTTCGAGACCAGCCTAGCCAACATGGTGAAACCCTATCGCTACTAAAAATACAAAAATTAGCTGGATGTGGTGGCAGGTGCCTGTAATCCCAGCTACTCGACAGGCTGAGGCATGAGAATCGCTTGAACCTGGGAGGCAGAGGTTGCAGTGAGCAGAGATTGTGCCACTGCACGCCAGCCTGGGCAACAGAGGGAGACTCAGTCTCAAAAATAATAATAACAAAATAATAATAGCAGGCCGGGCATGGTGGCTCACACCTGTAATCCCAGCATGTTGGGAGACCGAGGCAGGCAGACCAATTGAGGTCAGGAGTTCAAGAGCAGCCTGGCCAACATGGTGAAACCCTGTCTGTACTAAAAATACACACACAAAAACTAAAATTAGCAGGGCATGGTGGCTGGTCCCTGTAATCCCAGTTACTCAAGAGACTGAGGCAGGAGAATCACTTGAACCTGGGAGATGGAGGTTGCAGTGAGCTGAGATCAGGTCACTGTACTCCAGTCTGGGCAACAGAGCAAAACTCTATGTCAAAAGAAAAAACAAAATGTACACAGAGAGATCTTTTGCATATACTTACAATGAGTACATAGGTTCCCTAAAGCTCATCCATGTATTCCAGGTTAAGAAAATACAATCTTTAATAAGAAGGGAAATTAATGGATGAGCAAAACTTCTGAGCCACAGTTGAAAGTATTGATGTCTGACACAGCATATAAGATAAAGTCATCCAAACAAAGGAGACTTTAAAAAGTTGGTTTTTCTAAACTACTTTGCCTTCTCATAACTATTTAACTACATACTACCTGCCTTTGGAACCAGCACAGTCTATAAAATGCTTTGCCACAAATATCCAAAACCAGAGGCAATTTTGAAATATACATGTGAAATGAAGCTGGATCTATTCATATTACAGCCCCAGAGAATATATATCAAGCTAGAAGTAATGAGTTCCAGTTTGTAAGGATTTTTACAGCTCAAAAGAAATTGGCTTTTCTAAAGCTTTCCTTTTCTCTAGGTTGCCAGAGCACTGTGCTTATGCTTCTACTATAAAAGTATTTTCATTCCTTCTTGTTTATAAGTCAGCATTTCCCCTTCAAAATGTTAAGATTCTTGTAGACAAAGACAGATTCTTGTTTATCTTTGGCCATAATGCTATTGCCTCTACTTCCCCAGCCCCCACACACCTAATACAGAGTCTTGCATATACATTTGATAAATATTTGTAGAACTAACCTGAATTGTCTACCCAATCACAGAATCTTTGTACACCAGCAAATAAGAAATCAAAAGCATGGAAGACAATGGAAGCCAGTGGCTCCAGATGCCTCTTTTCAGGTAGGGTCTTTTGTATCTCATTTCTGCAGCAATGACCAGAAGTAGTATCACAGTAAATAGTATTAATCAGTCCAGAGTTTGCACACCACACTTCCTGTGCTTATATTACACTATGGAATTAAAGAAAACAGAGGAAAAAACATGAACGTTCTCAAGAACCAAAAGGATAGAAAGAATTCTATTCTCACACCATATAGAAAAATTATCTCTTAGACAAAAAGGAGATTATCATTTATGCAACACAAAGGACAAAACAGGTGTTAGTACAAGAATAGATCATCTCAGGGGTCATAAACTGAATCTTTGCTCTACATAAATCAACACGAATCAAGAACACACATGCAGGAATTAAACCACAATTTGGCCCTGTTTGCTGTGTAACATTGTAAGTAAAACTGGTACTACCTGACATCTTTAAACATTTCATATGAGCCTGAAGGGAAGCTGTTTTCTGACCTTTGCAGATATACAGTCCCACCTAGTATGAAACAGAACGGAATATGGTTGATGCTTTCAGAAGAATATTTGCTCTAGCCCCTTGCTGATGCCTTCGGTACCTAACTTCAATAAATCTTCACTTGCTGTTTACAAACGTAGCACATTTTGCTCCACAAAAGGCTAAGTGTGTTGCAAATCAGACAAGGCGCTTTTGGGGGGTTTGTGTTCTTTTGTTTTTTTGTTTTGGTCTGGTTTTATGGCTTGCCCATTTTAAGAAATCTAAAGGGCACTTAAACCCCAATGACTCACAATTCAAAGCATGAAATAAAAAGCAAATGGAGACCAATTTCAAACTAGACTTGACTTAAAGTGAGCCTCTTGAAGTTAAACAGCCTAGGATCAGCTCTAGCAAGAACTGCCGGCTGCCCAAATTATTTGTCTTTCCTATGGGAGTGGAGGGTTTGTCCTTTTTCTGGGCTGTTACATAGAGGCTGGGGTAGCTTTGGGGAATATAAAGCATCATTTTGGCCGCCAATCTTCCCCCTCACCCTACTGCCAAAAAAGTTCTAAACCAAGAAATCCGGTTGTCCTAGACAGAGAAGGCAGCATCATAAACTCAAGGCAGGAGAGAGTTGCTCTTCGTTAGGTGGGATGTTTTATATTTTTATAGTGAGTGAAGTGCTTGATTCAGAAGATTTTGGAAGAGAATCAGGCAAAGGAGGGAGAGAAAATGGCAAGACTAGAACAGTGACTGAGAAAGGAGGAAAAATAATAAATAGGTCTTGAACTGTGACTACTTAGCTCTGAAAATGGAAATTCGATAGTTGGGTTTCTTTTTATACATCCAGGACTTAACCTGGAATGTTTTCTCACTCCCCTCCTACAATACTCGGTCACATGACAAATTCATATCCATCATTCAGGCCTCAGCTCATGTATCATTTCTTCTGTAAAGCTTCCATAATGCCATGAAAAGAACTCCCTTGTGTTGTCATCTCACGTAATTAGGCTCTTTCTTAGAGAATTCCTCCCCCACCACTCCGAGAACACCTTGAGGGCCCTAGATTATACTCATCATTTTCTCCCCAGAACCTGTCATTATAGATGACCCAAAATTTTCTTAATAAATGCCTGTTGAATAAGTCTAAGTAGCTAAGAAGAAAAAAGAAATTAAGTCTCCAGATACTTAAATTAAAAAGACATCTAACAGAGTTGCACTCCCTGTATGTCATGAAGACCCAGTCTGAAATTAGGGAAGCACACGAGAACACAGCCATTATGAAATCAGCCTTTGATGTCATGACACCTAAAAGGAGCTGGAATGGGGACAATTCAGAGAATAATTTTGTAAGAAAAATGAAAAACAATAATCTATCCTTTTGGTTCATTTTCCAAAAGGATTTTAGCAATAAACACATTTTTTTCTTGAGAAAAAAAAAAATGAAAATATTTATTCTAAAATATCCCCATGTGACGTATAATGATATTCTGTGCAGAAATGTTCTACACCCACATCAGTGTTACAAATCACATGGGTAAAGAACTGAGGAATCTTCTCCCACTCAGAAATTGCTCAGTCCTGTTTATGAGCAGCCATTTAATGCTATTCTTAAAAAGACCAATTTAAAATGAATGCAGTATGGACTGCTGCACAGATTACCATGGACACTGTCCAAATGTTGCCTCATAGTATGATAGAACCTAAAGCTTATTGAAAAGGGTCTATTTCTATTCAATAAACCCCTTTTCAAAAGTACATTTAGGAATGTGCTGGGTTACTAGAATTACTCAACGGCTCTATAATTTGAATAACTTTCTCCAGAAGAGTCTCTCGGTTCTCTGCAGGGCATCAGGAGGCCTATGATGATCTACATTATGAACATTCTGAAGACAGACATTCACACACACAGGCACCCCCCACGTACACTCACATAATATGCACGTTCACACCCATTATGCACAAACTCACACATGTTCACATACATATTCACCCATACATATTCTCTCTCTCTCTCTTTCCTCTCTCACACACACACACACACAATTAACAAGCTGGGAGGGAGTTCAGTGAAGAGAGATCCTTTTCAGAATACCTGTTACCTGGTACTCACATGATGAAATGAGGGTACCTAGTACGCTTCAGCTCAGTCACCATTTGGATGTTGTGCTCACTATCTAGTAGCAATCAAGTCCTATAAATCGAAGTCTCGTTTGATACTAGCACATACCACCACACACATCCAAATGTCTGCTAAATATTAAGGATAACTGGCAGGCATTATCAAAAATAATCTTGATATTTTTAAATCTCAGAAAAGTATGCTATCATCACAAAATTGGGACTGTTAAAAGCAGCGCTTCGTAGGCCTCGAAGTTTCTCGGTATGGCTTCTCCAACTCCAGGGAGTGAATAAAAACTGGTTTTCCCATGGATTTCACCTTAGCTACACTTGAAACGCCACTGCATCCCCATGGCAAATGAATGAATGACTGGATGAATATGGCAAAACTCTCTAGTTCACATGGACTTTACCCAGGATGAGTCAATATGTGGATGTTTTCCATGACATGTGGTCCTCTCCTTTAGAGAAACCAAGGGGAAATTAGAAGGATGCCCAAGGAAATTCGGCCTTTCCCAAGTGTGTCCATGCTGAGAGATGCATTTATCAGCATCCTTCTCCTCCAGGTGCTTGACTTCATTGTGGAAGCTTCCTTCATTTACAGGAGACTGAAATCATGCACATTACTTTCCATACAAATTATCTTTGTTTCTTCCAACAGTGACATGGGAGAGAAATGACTCAGCTTGTACCTATGAACAAAGAGGGGAGAGCTGAGAAATTGTCCAATGACACTAATCAGAGTAGCAGAAAATATGTAACCTAACTTTTTCATAGCCTAACTTTTTCCTTAGTTGAAATGTTTTGACCAGAAAATCAGATAATTATTTCAGATTTACACCTCATTTGTCTTATGTAAGCATCATTTCACTTATACTAAAGATAAGAGAGTTAACTCAAAGTTTTTGTCTAATCATTTGTACTAAATAAATGAAGTCCTAGACTAGATCTCCAACAAAGTTTGAATGAATAGATGCACAATTGTGTTACATAGAGGTTCTGCATAAGTTTACATGACACTCTTTAGCCAAGTTGAGATTGAGAGAGACTGAATGAATAGAGAAATACAGTATTCAAACTAAGAATAAGATCAGATTTGGAAAAGTGACAATATACATTCTGCATCTATTGTTTGTGTGTGTTACATGTACATATTATATATATATATAAAGATTAAAAGACACATATAAATCTATCTATACAGAGTATCACACCCCAATCATGCCTGCTATATTTTTAGTAGTTGTGGAATCTGCAAAGCTACAACAAAAATTAAAAGAAACAAAAAGACAACAAATAGGTCTTTGAAATCTATGCCAAAGAAGAGCCCTTTTAGCTTGAACTAAGCCACAGTGTTCAATTTGTCTCTGCCCCAGATGAAATAGTTTCCATTTGGAAAGCTACATGAAGATGTTTTGCTTTTGTGGAGATAATTGGCTCTAAGCAGTCATAGTAATTAACAGCATCAGGTAGCTCAGGCAGCATTTGGTTGCCCATTGCCTATTTATTTGTGAGCAAATGGGAAGGGGTGCGGGTGATGGGAACAGATGGGGAAGAGACGCAAGTGCTTCATTGGCACCTTGCATGTATGCCTCATGTTGCCTTTCTCCCTCTGGCACCATCATTAGTGCCTCTGGCTTCAGAGCCAGGTCTGAAGAGCCCGTGGGCAAGTGCAGATGCCACCAGCTGTGCTGGCTGCTTTTCTCTATATCCTGCTCTTTGCCCTCTACTCATCTGGCATAAAGAGAGAATTTCTGTGCTGATACCTTCAATCTCTGCACACTAGCTGAGGAATTTTTTAAATAACAACCCAGTAGGGCTGTAGTTAGAGGTTAATTGGGCATAAAGACAAAATGTGAAAAGACCCAGCTGTTCCTCTCAGGGAGGATTCCAAAGAGTTATTATAACTGATGGTTACCTTTCAGTGACTCTCTAGTCTAGTGGCAGTACCAGGAATCAAGGTGGGATCAAAGTCATGGGGAAGGAATGTCAAGATGAGATGCCTGTAAAAAGAAGGAGGGTGAAAGTGCAGAGGAGAAATCATAAAAAGTGACAAGTACAGAAAAGGAAATAAATACAAAGAGCCATAATAAAATTCTTTAGATAAACGTAGAGTGAGTAATGTTTATTGAGCAATTACTATCTACCAGACACTATTGTAAGCAATTTGCAGGACACAACATTGTGAGCTTCATATCAGAATTATCCTCATTTTACATATGAGAAAACATGGGCTTTAAAAATGTTTTTAAAAATGGTTGGATGCCACATATCTGTTAAGTACCAGATTGTGTTTCAAAGCCAAGAAGTCCCTTCTGAAGGCTTTCCTGGGAATCCGGGAGCCTGGCATTCTGCTCTGGACCAGCTTCTGAGTAGTGGAATAATTTCCAGCGGATCACTGAATTTCAGCATCTATCTCTATAGATAAGAGCAGCCATTCCAAGTATGGTTGACCACCTCCTGCATTGGAATCACCTGACAAACTTAGTAAAAGCATACATTTCCAGGTCATTTCTAAGTCTAATAAATCAGAATCTTCATGGCAAGGTGCTCAAAACTGCGTTTGTAATTCCTCTGAGAATTTTTAAGTTTGATAAAGTTTAAGGATTGTTCAACCAGATGACCTCAAAGTATCTTTTGAGTCAAAAATTGTAAGGCACTGGTGGTTGCTATGGCACCCAAGGAAACCATTGCATTCAAATTTTGCTTATTTAAAAGAACACTCAAAATAGTAGTTCTCATTCAGCAGTTTTATACAGTATAAAGTGTTTTTACATACAAGAGGTGATTTTGATGACTTTCCTTTATTTCCAAAATTCAAACCCATCTTCAAAGGGTTTCTAAACATTGAGGAAATGAAACACTTCAGGTTTAGGACTATTCTAAAAATGTCCACAGCCATTGCAGTATATTTGGAATTAGACCACCTGGTACAGTTTTAAAGAGGCAATACTCTTTTGGATGTATGAGCACTTTTTAAAAAATAAATAAATAAAACTTGATTACCCTGATCACACCTCCCAAACAGTAAATTGTGTTCCATTGAACCATCTGAAAATACTTTTTACTTGCAAAAACAGTGATTTCCTGTAGCTTAACCAAAAATGTGTGCATATGTTTGTGAATGTGTGTCTGTAGGGGCTGGGTGTAGGCCTGTGACAATAGTATTTAAATATCAACTTGCTTGGTCCTTGTAATGCAATGCTGCCCTTTTAGTGCATTCTGAATAGATGTTAAGTGATGATATTAATGATGAAATTTCCCACTCAACTTCCCAGACTGTGTCCTAAGTCCTTAGATCTTACTAAAAAGGTAAATCTTCACAACCACAGTAGACCAATAAACAATCAAATGAAGAATCTACTAACTTACTTCTTTCCATCCATTCCCAAACATAATCTAATACATGTGCCTCCAGCCCATAAGAGCCATGGCATTTTCCCCTGTTACTCTGCATATGTGAATTTACTGTGTCTTTTGAAAGGCAGTTTATCCTCCAACAGATTTTGTTGGCAGCATATTTCTTCACACTATTCAGGCCATTTTCTTCCAACTAAGTATTCAGTTGTTGTCACTGAAAATATATCAATAGGATAAAGAAATCTAAAAGTCAAAAATTAGGCAAAATGACATAGATTTGCATGGATTGAATGCTTCAAGAAAAAATAAAAGCAACTGAGCTCACTCTGCTACATAAAATATTTGTGCCTTTTTCCCCCTTTGTGTCTTCCTCCTTGGTGCCCAACTCCGGGTCAGGTGCCAGTGGGACTATTTGGCAGCAGTGGGCTCTAACTAAAGCCTCTAGTAGCTCTCATTCAGCAGTAAAATTGTTGTCTTCCTCTGATCCACAGATTATGGAGATGAGGAAATGAATGTACAGCACTAAGATTCCTCACCGAGATAGCTTTTCACTCTTTTCAGTGAGAAAAAGATCAAAAGGAAACTGACTAATTAGCATACCAAAGGAGACAAAAACCCCTAGAGCTTTATCGTTGTTGCAATCCAATAATAAACACCCGAGTACAAAAAAGATTATTTGATAATGACACACAGAATTGAAAGCCTTTGAAACAGCAGCTTCTAGAAAAAAAATATTTTTGGAAGGGAAAATATCCATAATTATACAGAATAATGGCTACACATTGGGGAACGGCTCTTTAGTCCTGTGAGAGCTGCTTGCAGAACTACTTTGCCTAAGAACAGCAGTGTAGATTGCCTTTATCTGCAAAACTCAAAATGCCTACAAAAGGTTTCAAATCCCTTCCCCAGTAAACATTCTACTCTTTCATATTCCCAAAAATTAAACACTGAATTTGTGTCTTAAAAATAAGCATCCCCTGTTCCCAGACCAGCACCCAGCCAAAGGCTTGTGCTCAAAACCACAGAAATTTGCAACTCTTTGAGACTAATTATCCTCTCTACAGCCTTTTCTGGTTTAGAAACTCTGGTACTCTCTGCAAATATGGACTTTTTTCAAGGAAGGAGAACAAAGCAACTGTTTAATTATAAACATGTTACTCTAGGACATGTGCATAGGAATCCCCCAGGCCTATAGAGAAACAGCCTTAAAAGAAATGCAGACCCAATGATATGGTTTTGCTGTGTCCCCACCCAAATATCAACTTGAATTGTATCTCCCAGAATTCCCACGTGTTGTGGGAAGAACTGAAGGGGAGGTAATTGAATCATGAGGATTGGTCTTTCCCGTGCTATTCTCATGATAGTGAATAAGTCTCACAACATCTGATGGGTTTATCAGGAGTTTCTGCTTTTGCTTCTTCCTCCTTTTTCTCTTGCCACTGCCATTTAGGAAGTGCCTTTTTTCTCTCGCCATGATTCTGAGGCCTCCCCAGCCATGTGGAAATGTAAGTCCAATTAACCCTCTTTTTGTTCCCAGTTTCAGGTATGTCTTTATCAGCAGTGTGAAAACAATCTAATACAGTAAATTGGTGCCGGAATTGTGATGTTGCTGAAAAGATACCCGAAAATGTGGAAATGACTTTGGAACTGGGTAACAGGCAGAGGTTGGAACAGTTTGAAAGGCTCAGAAGAAGACAAGAAAATGTCAGAAAGTTTGGAACATCCTAGAGATTTGTTGAATGGCTTTGACAAACGTGCTAATAGTGAAATGAACAATAAGGTCTAGGCTGAGGTGGTCTCAGATGGAGATGAGGAACTTTTTAGGAACTGGAACAAGGGTGACTCTTGTTATGTTTTAGCAAAGGGATTGGTGGCATTTTGCCCCTGCCCTAGAGATTTGTGGGACTTTGAACTTCAGAATGATGATTTAGGGTATCTGGCAGAAGAAATTTCTAAGTAGCAAAGAATTCAAGAGGTGACTTGGGTGCTGTTAAAGGCATTCAGTTTTATTAGGGAAGCAGAGCATAAAAAATTTGGAAAATTTGCAGCTGACAACGCAAGAGAAAAGAAAAACCCATTTTCTGGGGAGAAATTCAAGCTGGCTGCAGAAATTTGCATAAGGAGTCTAATGTTAATCCCCAAGACCATGGGGAAAATGTCTCCAGGCCATGTCAGAGACCTTCACGGCAGCCCCACCCATCACAGGTCCAGGGGCCCAGAATGAAAAAGTGGTTTCCCGGGCCAGGCCCAGGGTGCCCATGCTGTGTGCAGCCTAGGGACCTTGGTGCCCTGTGTCCCACCCACTCCAGCTGTGGCTGAAAGGGGCCAATGTAGAGCTTGGGCTGTAGCTTCAGCATGACCTGGTTGTGAGACCTGGAGTCAAAGGAGATCATTCCGGAGCTTTAAAATTTGACTGCCTCACTGGATTTTGGACTTGTATGTGGCCTGTAGCCCCTTTGTTTTGGCCAGTTTCTCTCATTTGAAAGGGCTGTATTTACGCAATACCTCTTGCTTTTGATCTTACAGGCTCATAGGTGGAAGGGACTTCCCTTGTCTCAGAGGAGACTTTGGACTATATATTTTTGGGTTAATGCTGAAATGAGTTAAGACTTTGGGGAACTGTTGGGAAAGCATGATTGGTTTTGAAATGTGAGAACATGAGATTTGGAAGTGCTGACCCTCATCTGAATCAACTCCAGGACCTCACTAGGACAGGAGATGGTGAAACTCTGAATTGACAGGTAGTGGGTGTTCCTAACAGAGAATTTCTACATGGAAGAACAGGGATTGTCCCTCAGCCAAGTTCCAGTTTAAAATGCCTACTGGGGCCGGGCATGGTGGCTCATGCCTATAATCACACACTTTTGGAGGCTGAGGTGGGTGGATTACTTGAGGTCACGGGTTCAAGACCAGCCTGGCCAACATGGTGCAACCCCATCTCTACTAAAAATACAAAAATTAGCCAGGTATGTTGGCAGGCACCTTTAATCCCAGCTACTCAGGAGGCTGAGGCAGGAGAATTGCTTGAACCCAGGAGGCAGAAGTTACAGTGAGCTGAGATTGTACCACTGCATCCAGCCTGAGTGACAGAGTGAGACTCTGCCTCCAAACAATTAATTAATTAATTAAAAATAGACAAATAAATAAAATGCTTACCTGGCCACAGGAAAGGTATCATTCTGCATGGAGATCAGCCAGGTTATTATAATGGACATGCCAGAGATCACAGGCTCTAAGTCCTTTGCATTAAAAAGCTCAGAGGTCCAAGTTATTAGTAATATAATATTCTATCCTGTTTCTAATCAAACGAATCATTGTTAAAGGGTCAAATGGTAATGTATCTCTTTACAAATCTGAATTTGAATGAATAATTCCTCTCCTATTTTATAGATTTTTTTTTAACAATAAGTGAATGAGAAGTATGTCTTTGACTGGGCAGCGAGTAGACTACCTTTCTCTCTAGGATCTTTAGTTCCTTTTAGATTGCATAAGATCACTTAGGATTCTATTTTGTTCGTTTCATACAGAATTTTGTTGTTGTTGTTCCTCTTTATAAATTGTCCATTCGCAATGAAACAAGCCCCAAATCAGAACTTTACTTACAAAACGTGCCTACAGGAGTAAAATAAATGTCATTTACCTA